ATGTTTTGGTCCTTTTAAAACACTGGAATCAGGGGCAGCGCTGTAGCTCAGTGGGTTATATGCCCTGTCCTGAAGCGTGGACGCTGGTTCGAGACCCAGCTGCTCCACTTCTGCTCCAGCTCTCTGCTACAGCCTGGGAAAGCAGTATAAGATGGCCCAAGTCCTTGGGCCCCTGCACCCACGTGGGAGACCTGGAAGAAGCTCCTGGCTCCTGGCTTCAAATCGGCACAGCTCCTGCCGTTGTGGCCAATTGAGAAGTGAACCAGTAGATGCAAGACATCTCTCTCTAGCTCTCTGCTTCTCCTCTCTCTGTGTAACACTTTCAAATAAATAAATAAATCTTTAAAAAAAAAAAAACCACAGGAATCAATTATTTTTACGAAAATTTCAGTGACAAGTTTACTACTTTAAATAAACACCTTAAAGATCAGTTAGGATAAAAGTCAAAATCTTTCAATGGCCTTAATTCCTTCTCTGAAATCATAGTTTCATCTATGCTGTTTTTCTGTGACTTTTGGAATATACCAGCTGTTCTTACACTTCAAGGCCTTTGAACCTCCTATTTCTTATAGTTGGAGTGGTCTTTCCTCAGCTATGGCTCTGACTCACTTCCTCACTGCCTTCATTGAAATGTAACCAACTCAGTGAGATCAATTTCAAGGCCCATTTAGAAATGAGATCCAGCCATAATCCTTCACATTTCCACACTTTCTCGTTCTATGCTTGGTTGACTTTTTGAATAGTATTTGTCATAGATGATAGGTAGATACTAGAAAGATGGAGTTGATAGATACAGATATAGGTAGACAGTTGATAGATACACAGATAAACAAACAGACATGCACTTATGTGCACCTAACCCACACCCAGATATAAATAAGCACCAAAGAGATAGAGATTTTTGGCAATTCTGTTCAATACAAAGTCCTCAGCATTTAATACAGCACTCAACAAAAGGCTGCAATGAATATTTTTGGAAAATAATTATAATTTGCTTCTTTTGTGTAGAGTTCATGTTTCATTTTCAATGTGATGATGCAAGGGAGCTTCAAAAATTCATGGCAAATATGTATTATGAGGAACTTAGACATGGTTTTCAAATACTTTTGTAAATAAATAAGTTCATTTCTAAATTATTTTTTCTTTAAAATTTTTAAAGTGCCTTCATAATTAGAAAATAGCGAACATTATTGGAAGTCCCTTCTACTAACTCAGATCTACTAAAGCAGGTTGTTCTCTAATACATAAGTTGGAAATGCAGAGGAGTAGACATTTTCTCTTCCATCACAAGATTTATGACCAAGTATAACACATGTCATATTAACAAGGACTAACACGTAACTTTATTTAAGTTTGATATGACATGGAGCCATCATAAATGAAGACCCAAAGACACTTAAAATCTCTTGGTTTTTATGGGTAGTCATGCAGAAATAATATTGGAAGACTAAAGGGTATGACTTAATGGTAACAAATTGAGGAAGGCAGACATGTGACCCAGGAGTTGAGAAGATGCTTAGAATGACCCATCCCGTATCCAACTGCCTGGGGTCCATAGCAGCCTTTGACTCCACTTCCAGCTTCCTGCTGATGTGGACACTGGAAGGCAGTGGTGATGGTTTAAGTACTTGGGTTCCTGCCATCCATGTAGGAGAACCAGATTGATTTCTGGTGTCTTGGCTTTGGTCTGGCCCTGCCACAGCCATTACAGGCATTTGGAGGGTAAACCAGCTAATGAATGATCTCTGTCTCTCTCTGTCTCTGCCTTTCAACTAAAGAATTACATTTAAAATACAACAAATCAAAAACAAAAATAATTAAGGGGGGATTATCATATCCTGTTTATTCAGATTATTCTTTGCATCTCTGTGTCTTTGTTCCTTTATTCTAGGGATAGGAAGAGTCCATGAGGGATTAAAGACCCATTATAGAGGAACATCGGAAAATTCTTTTCTGAAAATTCATTTCTACTGGGGAGAATGATGGGAGAAGGTCAGAGAGCTTTCTGCTTCTGGCAGTTCCTCAATTGTCAGTGTGAGTATTTGTGGCAGCTCTCCTGAACCCCATCAGCATATACATTATCATCCTGATTCTTGACTGTGTTGGCATTCAGTTCCATTATTCCTTTCTCCAGTTCTATCTTTTGCCACAGATCTGGACTTAGCTGGGAATATACTACTGTCACATGTACAGTCTTCCCCTCTTGTTCTCACTTCACTGAGCACTTGGAGTAGTAAGATCGCCAGAGATGTAAGGGGTTGATAGGGTAGAGAAAGTGGTGCAAGTCATGGCAACTGGGTTCATGTGGAGTGTGAAGATTTGATAAGGGTGAGACATCTTATACAGGAATCAGCTCTGCTCACATCAGTAAATTAAGATTATAAAGATGGAACATTATTGTCCCTGTTCTGCCGAATGTCAACCCCACTTGTTAATATGCAATCTCTCTACAATTTATATGAGGACTCTGCAAAATTGATTCAGAGGAACCTCCTTGTGATCTGAGCATGACTGTCAAATGTGTCTCTAGAGTATTTTTTTGCTGGCAGCATCTGCTGCTTTTTGAAGACTTAATGGCTTGAACACAGCCTCCTCTTTTCCTTTCCATTAGTATCATTCACATTTTGAGCAATTAAGTTTCTTGTGATGCCTCTCACAGATGAGTTATGAAGTGATGATGAGCTATGAAGTGATCAATTCAGAGACAGACATTGGAGAGGGGCAAATGCTTGAGAATAAGGAAGATTTATCTCTAGAAATACATCTTATCTACTGTTTCCTATCATTTTTCTCTGCAGAGTGGCAAGATAAGTTTTCACAGCCAAACTGTGAATAAAGATTATTACCCATAAGAACAATACAAGCACAGTTTTATTATAATGCCATATTCATTTATTTTCCATTTGGTTTTTGCAAAATAATATAATAAAGTTGGAGAGTGTCTAGTTCAAGAAAATAGAGATAGCAAAAGAAATTCATACATTTGGTTATCTGAAAAAAACCACAATTTTTATTTTTAAATATAACAATTTTATTGGAGAGTAGAGAGAAAACTAGTGCTAAGAAATTTCTTAAGCAAATTTTACAGATGAATGCTATAGGATTATCTAATTTATCTGAATGAAAGGAAATACTATTACAATTAGATAATAAGTCATATGACATAAATCATATATCTGGGCTTTCTGTTAGGTTTAACAAATACCTGACAAATATATCTGAAACTCACTAATTAGAAAACAAAGAAGTATAGCTGGGTATATAATATAAAGACTCCAGAAATAATAAATCTATTTTGTAATCCATAGCCTGAGTCAGAAGTACTACCTTCTACATGCACATTACATTGTAGTTCAGGGTTCTCTGCATAGGGAGAATTATAATTTAGGGATGTTCCATGTATATCTAAGATGCCATATGTATGTAATATCAGTATAATATAACCACAAAGAAAACAGGCAGAGCTAAAAGGAAAATGAAAATTGCTTAAAAAGAATTAAAAGAAAAAATACTATGATTTGATCCTTGGATTTAAATGTTAGAAACACATTAATTTATGGAACGTAAGTTTTGGAACTAGAGAGAAAATGAATTAAAGGAAGCTCTGTAGGAAGGAAGAATGGCATAAGGAGAAGGCGCATGAAGATGTTCTGGTTCAATTCAGGGGAGAAAGTATCTGTGAGACGCAAGATCAGGTGATTGTAAGCAGAATCCGATAGCTGTCGAAGAGGAACACAGCCAAAACTTCACACTGGTTGAGAATGGAGTCTGTGGGATAAGAAAACGAGGATCTTCTTTTAGCAATGCTAGAGCTCCTCTATGTTCCCATGGTCCTTTCAGCCTGACTACCCCCAGGAACTCACCTGAATCAGGAGGCATCCCTTTTCCAACAGACCCTGGAAAAGTCAAATTCAGTGAAGAAAAAAATGGAAAATCTACTTTGGAAATACAAGGTATCAGGCCTGCCACCGTGGCTTACTTGGTTAATTCTCCGCCTGCGGCACAAGCATCGCATATAAGTCCCAAGTTCTAGTCCCAGTTGGGGCGCTATTTCTGTCCCGGTTGCTCCTCTTCCAGTCCAGCTCTCTGCTGTGGCCCAAAAAGGCAGTGGAGGATGGCCCAAGTGCTTGGGCCCTTCACCAGCATGGGAGACCAGGAGGAAGCACCTGGCTCCTGGCTTCGGATCGACGCAGCACCGGCCGTAGTGGCCATTTGTGGGGGTGAACCAACGGAAGGAAGACCTTTCTCTCTGTTTCTCTCTCACACAGTCTAACTCTCTGTCAAATAAAAAATTAATATTCAAACTCAAAAAAAAGGAAATACAAGGTGTAATTAATCATTGGAAAATTACTATTCCCTACTTCAGCTTAAATTAATTTATTTCAAATTTGAGATAAATTTGTAAAAAATATATACAGTCAAATAAGCAGAATGATTTTAATTAAAAATTAAGAAAAAGGAAATTGCAAATATGTGAAATAATTCATTGAAATAATGCATATTACACCAATAATTGTGTTTATCTATATGAAAGGGAAGTGAATGAGTTCTATATTAAAAGAAAAACATAGACCAATTGAGTAGTTTGATTGTTAAAGGATTGGTGAATGATGCAGCATACAAAACCTGCAGAGGAATGAGGAACTCTATTCCACATTATTGGTAGTAAGTTTTTGTAGTCTAAATAGAATAGAGAAACAGCTTGATTAGTTATCACTAGGTATTTGTCTTATTTAGACTAATAGCATGATCATTGGCTGCCTGTGTGTGAAGCCTGTAATCGTCCAATACTCTGCTCTCTGTTTTTTGTAAAGCACTTCTAAGTTAGACTTTGGTTTGTTAGCATCCTAAATTAGGTTGCAGTCCAATATGTAGAATGTCAAAGCACTGGGCACTCTGTCCAATGGCAGTGTTCAGAAGCTTGGAGCTTGGTAACACTCCCTGTCATCATCATAATGGACTCATTTGGTCACAAGTCCTGAGGTTAGGTCAGTTGCATGACTCCTGTTTTTTCCATTCTAGTCAAAGCGAGACTAATGTACACTGGATGGTGGCACACAAATCTTTAAGACTCTTGAGGGGACAGAGTTGACCAGAGAGATGACTGTGATGATTAGCAGGAAGGTGATTCCAGGAGATTACAGTGCAATGCTTCACAAGAACGCAACGGAGCTCAACTGATCAAATTGAAAAAAATCAAATCTCCGGCTATGTAAGTAGTTTAACAGTATTTGAGTCTGGTTGGTCACAATCTTTAGGAATTTGTGGTGATTAAGGATTATTATCCACTGTAGAATGATCTGATTTGCCTAGGAATCTTTTCTTAAATTGTTTGTTTGAAAGGCAGAGAGAAAGACACACACACAGAAATCTTCCATCTGGTGGTTTACTCCCCAAAATTCCACAACAGCCAGGGCTAATTCTGGAACTCGATCCAGTGGCAGGGACTCAACCACTTGAGCCATCACCTACTTCCTTCTGGGGTCTGCATAGGCAGAAGTTGGGGTCAGAAACAGAGCTAGGATTGCAGCCCAGTCACTGTGAAATAGAATGCAGAGAACCCAAGAAGCATCTTAACAGCTGCACCAAATGCCCAGCCAAAGAGGCAACCGTGTTTGTCATCAGCTTGGAAACACAAGCATAGTGACCTAGACACCTACTTGAGGAAGCCTTAAGCTTAGAAAACTTGGGGGCAAGTTAGCCACCACTTAGAATGCCTTCAAACTGTCATCCAGTATCACAAATACATTGTGTACTCCTTTTCCAAAAAGAATTTCTTCAATGCATTTGTTGGCAATGCCTAAAGAAAAAGTGGTATTACCACCTTTTGAATTAAACTTTAAACAATAGCATAATAAGTGGAAAGATACGTGCATTTAGATTTGTTCAGTGCCATATGCAAGTCCCTAGGAAATCTAAAGATGCCTGATAATATTCAGTAACTACTTTTGTTGAACACATATGCTGTCATACACCTTCTGGAGGGTGACTTCTACCTATACAAAACCCTAGGAATTCCAGTTAGTCAAAAAGTCTGACTTTCTCTCAATTTATGCATTAGTTTCAAATTCCACACAGTTGGCACCTCATTACCACCAAGAGTGAGCCTTCATTTGGAGTTTTTCTCCAGCTGACATTAGCTTATTTTTATCTGTTTCAGGGTTAATGCTAATTTCTACTGATGGTCATTTTGGCTTCTATTTATAGCAAGTATTGTATAGACCAATAGGAGAAGCGATTCAGAAGGCAGGAGGGAATCAAGCTAGAAAATAAGATCCAAACTAGTGGGGAGGAAGAACAAAGCAGGCAAACTCTCCTCAGATCCAATATGGATCCTCAGGGAATGGAATAGAGGGCTACATAATAGCATTTGAGCTTAGATCAGTTAAATCTGTCAGCCTATTTCTCAGCACACTTCTTGAAACAAGGTCTGGGAAGAAATTGACTTTTCTGTGGCAGGCTGTAAGGGTGTATAACCACATTTTGTGAAAAGGGACCATGCAGAATTAACCCAGTTATATTATACAAGCAATTACTTGACCCCACATAGATAGCCCCCAGGTTTTGGGTTCATGATTCTGGGAAGCATAATAAACTTTCCACAAGCATCATCCAGATAGGATTTGGTTAGAGTTTTGTTATCAGCTTAAAAGGTAGGGATATGACTTTCACTGAGTGTAAGAAAGTAAGTGACAGGATTGTGACAGCAAGAAACAAAAGAACAATGATAAGTTTTTCATGATGGCAGAGAAGGGAAGACTTGGTTGTTGATCTTTGGAACGTTGTACACATCCATGATTCCATCTACTTCTGGGAAAGATTTACCTAGTCAGCTGCACCTTATGACTTCAACAGCGTACATTTTCAAGAGTCCGGATCTGCTTTCTTGAGATGTATGTGATCAAGTTCCCAAGTATTGAAGTTTTAATGAGGTAGGGTTGGTAAGAAACTTTTTATCAGAATTTATAAGACTGAAAAATATGAATGCTTAAAAAGTTCATGGAAAATCAAATTAAATGATGGTTTTAAAAAGAATTGTTTTATTTACTTGAAAAAGAGAGAGAATAAAAGAGAGAGAGAACGAGAGAGAGAAATCATCTTGGTTCACTCCCCAAATAGCTGCAATGGCGAGGGCTGGGACAGGCTGAAGCCAAGAACTGTATAACATGATAATATGTTCTTAGTCCATAAGCCTTCCAGTAACTGTTTCATAAGGAGTAAATCTATATTTCCCAATGGGAGTGGATCTAATTGCCATCGGGGCCTATAGGAATACCTTTGGCCAAACCAATACAATCAATTCAATTAACTTTGTCAATTTAGTTTTAAATGCCATTTGTCCATTTGACCTTTACAGAAGAGTGAGAGTAACCGGGATAATGATAATGTCATTATTATGTTTGTAACACCTTACCTAACTGCTTTATAACTTGTCCATAAAATAGCTTGCCTATCAGTGAAGATTTCTCCAGCAATGTCCCATAAATGAAATACCTTTGTTATTAATTTGGTAACCATTGTCCTAGCACAAGTTTTCCTGCTGGAGAACCTACAAACTATTAAAAGACTGTGTTAAAACCCATTGAAGATGAAAATTGAATGAAACCCATCTGTAAATGCTCAAATCATAGATCATGTAGCAAAAATATACCATCTGCAGTTCCAATTATCTTGCTAGAATTATATGTTTGACAAACAATACATTAATTATAACCATTTTTATCAATTTTACAAGTGTCACTAAACCAGTTATTTGTATCACTTTGTTCCGTGATGAATTATGGAAAGTAAGCCCTTTAATTTTTAAGCATTTTATCAAAGTACAATATACATCCCAAGAAATGCACGTGAGTGTACAAATGAATGAGGTTTTTGCCATCTGATCACACTCATATCCAGCACTCAAACTAAGAAAGGGTTAATGATACCTCGAGAGTTCTAACTATTCTCCACATTTCTATTGTTTTGAACATGTGAAAGTGTATCATCATGTATGTGGTATGATTCAGTGAAACACAATTTATAACTATATTTCAAATTATACGACATCCACATAGTATTTATACTCTCTATATTCACTATTAAAAACAAGAATGCATGTGGTATTTTTCTTTTAGGGTAAGACTTATTTCACTTAGAATAATGGTCTCCAGTTGCATCCATTTCACTTTAAATGTCAGGATTTCATTCTTTACAGCTGAGTAGCATTCCATCATGTATATATACCACATTTTCTTTACCCAATTAGCTGGACATCTAAGTTGATTCCATTTCTTAGCTATTGTGAATCGAGCTGCAATATCATGGGATTTCAGGTCACTCTTCAATATGCTGCTTCCATTTTCTTTGGATATATTTCCAAGAGTGTGTTGGCTGGGTCATATGGTAGATTGTGTTTTTTTTTCAGTTTTAGAAGGGATCACCATACTATTCTTACATAATAATTGTGCTAGCTATTTTCCACTAGCAGTGCATTAGGGTACCTTGTTCACTACATCCTTGCCAGCAATTGTTATTAATTTTTTTTGATGACAGCCCTTCTTACTAAGGTGAGGTGTGGTTTATATTTGCATTTCCCTGATGGCTAGTGATCCTGAGCATTTTTCATGTGTCTGTTGGCCATTTGGATTTCCTCCTTTGAAAAATGACTGTTCGTATCTTTTTCCCATTTATTGACTTGATTGCTTTTTGTTGTTGTTGAGTTCCTTGAGGTTCTTGTATAGTTTGGATATTAACCCTTTATTGGATGTTTGTGAATATTGTCTTTCTATCTGTTACTTCTTCACTTTGTTGCTTGTTTCCTTTCCTGTGCAGAATCTTCTTAGCTTGATGTAATCCCGGTTATCTATTGTTACTTTTATTGCCTCCGTTTCTGGTGTTTTATCCAAGAAGTCTTTGCCTACACCAGTGTCTTAGAGCATTTTCCCCATGCTTCCCTCCAGTAATTTAGTGGTTTTAGGTCTTAGGTTTAGATCCTTGATCCATTGTGAATTGATTCTTGTATAGGCTATAAAGTATGGGTCTTGTTTCATACTTTTGTGTGTGGAAGTTCATCATTTCATAACACTTGTTGAAGAGACTGTCCTTTCTCCAGAGAATGATTTTAGCTCATTTATTAAAGATTAGTTGGTTGTGGTAGGTTATTTTCTGGGGTTTCTACTCTGTTGCATTGGTTTAAATGTCTAATTTGTGCCAGAACCAGACTGTTTTGATTATAACAGCCCTATAGTATGCTTTAAAATTTGGTATTGTGATGCCTTTGGCTTTGTTTAAATTTTTAGAATTGCTTTTGTTTTCCAGGGTGTTTTCTGTTTCCATATGAACATTAGTATTTTTTTCTAGATATTTGAAGAATTTCCTTTGTGTTTTGATTGGAACCACATTGAATCTGCAAATTGCTTTGGGTAGTATGGACATTTTGATAAAGCTGATTCTTACAATCCATGATCATGGAAAATGTTTCTATTTTGTTGTGTCTCTTTTATAATTTTCATTAACATTTTGTAATTTCAGTTGTGGAGAGCTTTCACATCCTTTGCTAAATTGATCCCAAGGTATTTAATTGCTTTGTAATGACTGTGAATGAGACTGAACTTGTAACTTCTTTGTCAACCAGAGCACTGTAAGTGTATAAGAATGTTACTGATTTTTGTAAGTTGATTTTGTATCCTAAAATTTTATCAAATTTTGTTTATGAATTCTAATAGTGGAGTTTTTGATTCCTCAAATAAAGAATTATGTTATCTTAAAATAGGAATATTTTTGTCATCTTTTTTTCCAATTTGTATGCCTTTGATTATTTTTCTGACTAATGGATCTGACTAAAACTTCCAGAATTATATTGAATGATAGTGATGCAAAAGGGCACCATGTATGGATTTCATTTGTGATTGCCTATCATCACATTTCAGTACCAGCTTTACTAAACATGAAATTTACCACAGAATTTTCTGGGTATTCAGTTAGTTCATGTTTTACTTGATAATGGTTTTGTAAGTCAGTCAGTTTAGTCATTAGAGTTTTGGAATCCTTAGTGCCATGGTTTGATCTTAAAGTTATCAGAAACCTATACTTATGAGAATTCTTTCCTTGAGTCTTTCATAAGATGAAACACTTTCGGTTATAATTGCTTGCAATAGCTTTCATGCAAGTATCAGAGTAAAATAATTAACTGTCTATGGATGACAAGACTTAAAATGGCCATAATTAAAG